CGTACGGTCATACAATATTATTATGAATAATTTTAATATCATTAATAAATTTTTGAGTATAACTTAATTCTGTGAAATCATTTTATGAGGTTTACCTANAAATATTATGACAGGCACCCGAATCCACCATAACTATAACCTTCTTTCCCGTTATTATCCCCATAATTTTAGGCAATTTTTTGAAGTCATTCCCGCGATGCTACTAGCATGTAGATGCAGATTCATCTGCCCCTCTTCTTCCTCCTCCTCTTGATTATCCTCTCGTCTTCCTCACCTCACCTATTAGAATCACATGAAGTTGTTTATTATGACACATATGACTTTATTACTCATTTTCCGCCTTCTAATGTTCACACAACAACGCAATTTGATTTTTCCAAAAAAATAAGCTCATGGAATTCCAAAATCCATTGGGTCACACGGATAAGGTTTTTATTAGTTCTTACTAGTAACACTTGTTTAAGTCTCAAGGAACTATCTTGTCAATGGGATCGACTTATCATCGACGAACAAACTGAAAATTTAAACAAGACATTGGAGATGTATTTAAGGTGTTATATATGCTGATGAGAATCTTAATTCTGGGATTTATATGCTGTTTTGGTCCATTATTGGTATAATACTGTTAGTATTTTGAGATTGTGAAAGGAATAACTGATGGGATAGAGAAAATATAGAAACAGTGGAATGTAGAGAAAATGTGGAGATAGTGGAATGTGGAAGTAGTAGTTGGAATAAGTGTTGTAGTTGTCTTAGTTGTAGTAGATGTTGGCTTGCTTCTAAAGGTAGAGTACATGGGTCTTTATAGACCTATAGATTATTCTAGAACATACTAGCCACAATTTATATGGGATGTTCTAGATTTTTACCTAAGTAGAATGTTCTTGATTTTGTTTTTCCTATTTAGGCATTTCTAAAATATTCTAGAATTTGTTATATTTCAGTTCTTCTATCTTAGGAGCTTCTACATTCTTCTAGAATTTGCATTACACTTTAATACTCGTTATTAAAGCAAATTTGGTAACTCTAAGCATAGTGTGTAGCACTTCCAATCTTGGTCGTGGTAATGCCTTCACAAAAACCTGCAATTCAGTCTTTTGTTGGACAATACTCAAGTCAAATTTGTTTAATTGTCTCTTCATCTCGAATGAAATGATATTTAATAGCTATGTGTTTTGTTCTTTGATGATGGACTGGATCTTTCGCTATTGCTATTGTCAATTCATTGTCGCAATAAATAATAGTTGGCCTGTCTTGTGGTTCACCCATTTCTTCATAACTAGGTGGTGCGTTGAAATGATGGCACCAAACACGTTAAAACACGGTCATCCGAGCAAGACATTATAGGATGTGTTGGTCCACAAGAAGATACCTGACCCTTTTCTCAGTGTTGTCCTGACCGACACCTAACGATCTGCTCATTGTAGGGAACAATAAGGTCATCCGACAGGTCATCTGTTGGAAAAACTCCCAGTATAGGATGTTGATCGAACTCACTTGGTCAATCAACACATTGTTCACCCCATATCTTACTATTTTGACAATGATTACCATCGGATCATCCTGATCAAGATCCGACGCTTGGAAGTTTGTGTCCGTGCACGTGATTGGTGACATTGTTTTACACAGCTTGTTTACCAAATGAACCGGTTGACGAACATCTTGAGGTTCTCCTTTGGACCGGTCGTCCCATCATACACCTTGAAGTTAGGTGGGACAAACTGCTTTGAGATATGGGTTTCCATGATGGTAGGGACAAATAGTAGCATCCCGGTTGTATGCTCTGTTTTCACCGTGTGGTGTTCTTTCCTAACTATTGTGCTCTCCTCCTTTACGATTTTCACCATCTTGTCCTTGGCCTTAGTGCCCACGATCTGATCCATTCTAATTGGGTTAGAATGTTGAGTAGTTTGCTCCACGTGAACAATTTTATCTTTATCTTCCTCCCTTACTACTCTAGCTACATTTTTTGCCCTTAGGACGGCTAACTCATCCTCGTACCGTTATTGCATCTCCAACATCTGTTGATTTCTGAGCTCATGTTCTTCATGGTCACGATTGGGTATACTTCTAGATCTTTTGGCCTCACGGTGGACGCCAAAATGTTTCAGTTGTAGGGTCGAGGATCTCTATAAACGCTCCTTTACACTTTCCTCTAAGTCAGCTTAGGTTATCTTGAGTATCCCTAGTCAAATTCCTTCCTTAGCTTTGCTGTCCAAACTCCAAACCGTACGGACGTCACAGTGAAATCTTAAATTCACAATAAATGTAATCTCCTACCTTCTTATCTTTATCGTCTATTTATAAGTTTTGAAATGAACTTATGATTAACTCTTATCAGTAATCTGATTAGAGACAACGTTTTAAGGTACTTGCAACTGAAAGTTGTTGGTCCTTTTGATCCTGTCTAATCGTCCATCTCCATGACCGTACGGTCATACAATATTATTATGAATAATTTTAATATCATTAATAAATTTTTGAGTATAACTTAATTCTGTGAAATCATTTTATGAGGTTTACCTACTCTTCAACCAATAATTAGAGAATATATATATATATATATATATATATATATATAT